TGACCCCTGTTGTAAATGCTGTTGCTTCCTTCTGCCCCCTGTAAGAATTATAGAGTTGGATTCGAGTCCTACCCTCCAGAGCAGGAGAAAACAAGCTTGTTCCCTCTTCCATATGGCAGTCCTTTGGATATTTGAAGAAGATTTTATTGGGTGTTCCCCCCCCCTCATCTCTTCTGGGTGCTTTCAGGAAAGCATTTTGTGAATGTAGGGAGGGGGAAGAAAACACAAACATTTAGCATTTCCCTTTTCCCCCTCGCCCTTTTCCTCCTCCACCAGCATGCGTACTGTAATTAGCCCTGGTTAAATGCACTGCCTGTTGTCGCTCTTTTGCTCTTACTGGTGGGACTTGAGGAAGCTAATTGCTTGTGGCCCCACATAGCCGTTCGCTCGGCACACCGGCAACGCCGCGATGGAGGTGCTGCGAGTGGCGGAGGCAGCAAACTTTTAAGTAGGGCAAGTCACAACAGAGGTACACAATGGGGATAGCTGATCTGCAGAAATCAATCTGTGCATTCAGTTTGGCACTGGCTCTCTGCAGAGAGAGGGGGTGGGGGAGAGCGCGGTGAGCCTGCAGGCTGCAGATAATACAGATTGCATCTGTAAATGTTGACTTTGTACAGTATTGTTTAATATATATATTATTTCCCACCCCCCTCCTTTAGAACTTCTGATCATTAGAGTCCCTCACAGACCACCCCTAGCGCCATTCAGCATCCGATCAATGTAATCCATCAAGCTTCTTTCTTAATTCTCCAGCCAAGGATTAACCCCTTGGAGGGATGATACTTCCTTCCCCCCCCCAAGACTCTGAACTAAATCCATATACATGACTGTGTGGGGGGGGGCACTTCTTTTAATTTTTAAGAATGGGGTGGCTGAAGGAAGGGTTGTAGCTCAGTGGCAGAGCACAAGATTTTATCAATAATGAATCACAGAGTTGGAAGGGACTCTCAGGAAAAGCTAGTCCAAACCCCTGCAAGGCAGAAATATGCAGCTGATCGAACCTGCAACCTTGGTGTTATCAGCATCACGCTCTAACCAACTGAGCTATGCCTACAAGCAATGATGTCGTTATAGAATTTCAGGTAACTGGACTGGGAAGATCCTCTGTCAAAGGCAGGGGTAGCAAATGCTGTGTCTTAAGCATATGCCCCAAAGTTTTTAGGAAAGGTTCCCCAGAGTTGTTCGGTGCCTGGGGGCGGAGGCAACCAACGCAAGCAGCGGAGGAGCGCAGCGCAACAAACCAGCCCAAAGCGCCGGCGTCTGAGCAAAGCCGGGCGCCTCGTGGTGTAAGCCGCATAATAATAATAATTTATTATTTGTACCCCGCCCATCTGGCTGGGTTTCCCCAGCCACTCTGGGCGGCTTCCAACAAAGATTAAAAATACATTAAAACGTCACACATTAAAAACTTCCCAGAACAGGGCTGCCTTCAGATGTCTTCTAAATGTCAGGTAGTTGTTTATCTCTTTGACATCTGATGGGAGGGTGTTCCACAGGGCGGGTGCCACTACCGAGAAGGCCCTCTGGCTGGTTCCCTGCAGCTTTGCTTCTCGCAGTGAGGGAACCGCTAGAAGGCCCTTGGCGCTGGACCTCAGCGTTCGGGCAGAACGATGCGGGTGGAGACGCTCCTTCAGGTATACTGGTCCGAGGCCATTTAGGGCTTTAAAGGTCAACACCAACACTTTGAATTGTGCTCAGAAATGTACTGTGTGGGCCTCCCCACAGGCGGGCCTCTCCATGGCCCTACACCAATCCCAGGTGTGCAGGAGGGCGGAGCTGGCAAGCCGCCTCAGCGCTCGCTAGCTCACTCGCCCCCAAACTCACAGCGCAGAGCTTCCCGCAGCAGAAGAGCCCGCCACAGCACTCTGACCGATGGGCTGGCTCTTCACTAGACTCAACTCTCAGGCCCTGGACTCTTGGCCTGGCGCCCCTGAGAGCCCGGCGCCCAGGTGCTCCGCACTCCAGCACCTATGGGTAAGACGGCCCTGCCTCCAGGTGTTGCCCATCTCCTAGCTCCCATCAGCCCCAACCAGCTTGCCCAGTGGTCAAGGATGATGGGAACTGGAGGGCACCACATTCTTAACCCCCGGTTTGGCAAAACGCTGCTTATCAGTCAACAGGACTAAGCTGAAATCCCCCACTGGGCAGCATCAGTGTGAGGGAGTGTCGTGTACGTTGGCTGACCTCACTAGTGAAACACACTTTCTACGTTGCTGCTTAAGTTGAATATTGTCGTGGCTCTTTAGATGCCGATGTGCACAGCTTTGTATTCTATAACAAGGGGCTAAACTTTAAAGCAGAGCATGTGCTCTAGCTTTTCGTGAAGCATCCTGGACTTGGTTATCATTTTTTCCAACCTAAAGCAGTGCTTCCAAACCCGTTTAGTATGGTGTGGAGCAAACAGATAGAGGTTTATTTCTCCCACTCTTACAATCTGGGGGAAAAAACACATCCTATGCAAATTAGAACCATTTGAATAACATAATTTGCCTCTGAGATTTTTAAGTTTACATCGGAACATCTTCTGATGCCCTAGAGGGTGATCTAATTTACCATGTTTCTTTTACTTGCATTTAGTAAGCAAACTGCCAGGCTTGTCTAAAGCGGTATTTGATATTGGCCTCCGTTCGTTGTTACGAATGAATTTACGAAACAGGAGGGAAACTGGAAAAGAAAGATCTGGGGAAATCTCCATGCAGGCTTGCTTACCCCACATCACTCCTCATGTTTCTAGAACCCAGGGCAATCCGATTGCGCTAAATTCAGGATAAAGGAAGTTCTGTTCCACACAGCACATAGTTAAATTGGAATTGGCTGCCACAAGATGCAGTAATGTCCACTAACTTGGAGGATGAAGCTGTCAAAGGCTTCTGGCTGCAGTGGTTGTGTTCTACCTCCACCGAATGCTACTTGCTTGAAATTGCAAGTTGGGAGACTTATTTTGCGCTCAGGTCCTGCTTCCAAACTTTCCATAGGCGTCTCATTGGCTGCTGTGAGAACAGAATGCCGGATTCGATGGTCGAAGGTCCTTTGCTCTGATCCAGCAAAGGTCTTTTTAATGTTCGGTTTCAGTTCAGTACAGCGATAAGAAAAAGCTCTGCAGAGCCTCATCAACCATTTTGTCCAAGGCTGCATGGAGTTTGGTCTCAGCCTTACAAAGACCCAGCGTCCTGGGTCAGAACATCACCTGCACTCCACACATCAGCATTAGTGACCACACGCTTAAAGTGGGAGACGAATTTGCACACACGCACACACACACACACACACACACACACAGTGTCCACAAAATATACATGATGGAGCATTGGCTCCCATGGCGACTTGACATTTCTGTAAACTTGTGCAGACAATCAGTAGACAAGTTGGAAAGCAAATTTTAGGAGATCCATCTTCTGAGTTTTTGAGTCCCTACGGAATGTCTTACTAAAAAGTGAAGACCGCTTGGACTTCCTAGCAAAAAATGGAACCTGCTATTGGTCCACCATCTCTTTCTTTAAAGTTTTATTTTTAATCTTTTTTTTTATTAAAGTTCCCCAAAAAATGGCTATATAGGTGTTTTTTTTTAGAAGCTAAAATCATCATATGAACATAGGATGGGAAAAGTAATTATTTAATGTACTCATTTAGGCAATTTATATGGCGCTTAAAATCTCTTAAGTGGTTTATGGGCATTGTAAAGCTTTGCAAATAAAGATCAAATTGCAGCAAGTGCAATGAAATGTTACAAATAAAAAACAAGATGCAGTAAACACATTATTAAAACAATCCAGCGTTTAAAACATTCCTTTGCAATTAGAGAAGGTGGGATGACTGTTCCTATATTGTTTCAAGGGCAGTGGTAGCTCTGAAAACATGCTTTAAACACACACCTGTGAGTTCCAGTCAATTCCTCCCTCCTGGAGATGTGTTTTTGTGCTTGTGTATGTCCTTCAGATGTTAAAAGACGCTGTCAGGTTCTGTTCAAAATGTGGGCACTAACATTTGTTGCAACCCTCCTAGACTCTTGGTGCTAACTGCAAAAAAAGCATGCACAACTCTCTTTAGAAGTCCATTCGTTCACTGCCCAAGCTTAATTCGGTGCTGCTTTAGAACTATAATTATTATTATTGCTATTAACTTATCCATCTGTTGCCATTTTGCGTTCAGAATCTACTTTTGAGCAACAAGCACCAGCCTGGTGAACCGTGCTGAACTTTAGACGACCATTAATCTGTGGATTTGGGAGTAAAGAAAGCAAATTTATCTCGGGGCGGTGTGTGTTTGTGAGGGGATTCCTTTATTCCATTACCCTGCAAAACATTTGGAAAGAGCTCTGGAAAGAGAAATTTCCTTGGCCGTAATTCTGCTCAGGCTATAGCGGTGCTTATAGTCACACGATGCAAAGGGGGTTAACACAGTGGGTAGAGAGAGTCATGGATTGATTTGCTGGCCAACAGGTCTCCTGAATTTCCGCAGTCTCCAGCTTTCAAGAGGAGGCTGATGTGCTTTGCCTCCCCATCTCATCCCTGACAACCTTTAGATTTTTCCGCCTTCTGATCTAACATTCTATGCCTCCTCACTTTTTATTTATTTATTATTATTTTTATTCAATTTCCAATATAAAATTTAAACATACATTTTCAATCTTATCACAAATACAAATTTTGACTTCCTTCGACTCATCCGCAAATCTTCGGTTATCAAATCTTCTATCCGCAATCCTAAATTTAACATTGCCTTTGTTTTAAATAAACTTGCTCCCTTGTTCCCTTTTTTTACAGTGTTTCTAATATTATTTCTTCACAAAGCTTCCTGTAAACCCACAAACGTTGTTTGCTCATCACATATGCTTTTCATATAATCCACAAATTTACTCCAGTCCTTGGTAAACTTGTGATCTCGTTGTTTCGGACACTTCCTGTTAATTTATCCATTTCTGCATAGTCCATTAATTTCATTCTCCATTCTTCTATCAATGGTAATTCTTCCTGCTCTATGCCTCCTCACTTTTTCAGGCTCCTGGACGAACTCCCAGATTCAGTGACAAGATGGGCTCCCGCAGGAACAGACTGCAGTAAGTTGAGCCAACTGACCAACGTTCCCATTCAGAAATCAACCTTCGAAGCCTGTTATGGTTTGGAATGGGAGTGCCAGAAAGATTGCCACCTTCCAGACCAGGGGTGCATAAGCTGTAGCCCTCCAGATGTTTCTGGACTACAACTCCCATCATTCCTGATCTCTGACTGGGGCTGATGGGAGTTGTAGTCCAGAAACATCTGATGGTTCCAAAGGAACCTGTTTCAATTCAAAACTACTCAAATTTAGCAGCAACAGCAGCAATTTCTTTGGCTCGCATCAGAAGCATCTCTGACTTGGAACAGGGAAGGAAAGGTGTAGTCAACAGAGAATACAAGGATATTGTAGGCATCTGAGTGAAGTTTTGCATGGCAGCACATTGCAAATTGTGAACATTTGTTTTCTTTACGCCTAACTACCTTGGCTGTGACCAGGACTTCTCTAGGCTAGGCTAATATTCTAGATAAAAGGGCACTGTCTATGGACATCCAGTGAAGTTGAATGTTGGAAGATTCAGGATATATTATTATTAATTAAATTCATCCAAAGATCACAGGGTGGTCTACAATATGAAAAACTAAAAAATGCATAATAAAAACAATATCCCCCTTTCAGTTTAAAAGGTTGTTAACAGAGAACAACTTAAGGTCTATGTACAGAGGTTGCAATTGGGTTGAACCACGGGTACTACAGGTTACATGGAAAGGGGGAGGATGTTAGGATATAGTTCCATTCCACCTTAAAAGGGTCAGGAATGACTGTTGTGTATCACATGCCTGAGAGAAGAGGAATGCTTTTGCAACAAAGGACACCCCAGGGAGATGACTGTTGAGTTCAGATTCTGCTTGCAGGTTCCAACAGACATCTGTTTGGCCCCTGGGAGAACAGAATGCGTGACTAGATGCTCCATTGGCCTGCTTCTATTTTGTTAGGATCTTATGCTCGCAAGTGCTCTGTGTCTACCCCGAATGCTGCCTGCTTCCTTCTCTGATTTTTGTTTGAGCTACATTACTGGCACAAGTCTGAAAATGAATTTATGATGCATGCGTGTGTTACTTGAGCTTATGAAACCTAGATTGCGCTCCTAGGTCCTTTGCATATCGCACATACCTCGCACCGACTCTTCTGCACTCAACAGAAAGATTAACACTACAGTCCTGTACTCAGCGTTGTATAGCTTTATTACCCAGCTAGGGATTTGGTTTTTGAAACTGTTACAACTGCTTAAAAGCAGCAGCAGTAGTACTTTTCTACTCCGAAGTAAGTCCATTAAGGTCATTGTGCTTAGTCCCAAGAAGCTTCTGGCATTACAGCCTAATCAGCTTCCTGTATTTTGGTTTGCGTTGCCAAGTTCAAGTGTTAACACTAAGGTTTCACAATTGCCGGCCACCTTTCTAGCTGGTCACGCAAATGCAGTTAGGCATGGCCATCACAGAGCTGGTGACCTCCAAGTCATTTAAGAAGCAACCCTTGCTAATATATGTCTGCGTATTTCAGCCAAGGAAAGGTGGGGGTTTCTCAGTAGCCTCTGGTTGGCCACTTTGGAAAGTTTAATGTAGGCCAGAGAGGCTTTCGGTCTGATGCAGCAAAGCTCTAGCGTCCTTAAAAAATGTCTGACCTCCAACAAATTGAATGTTGTGTTTCTATAGGTGAAATAGCCAGGTTTTTGAAAAATGCATCTGAATTAGCGTACAAGGAAAAGCCTGATTATGAAGCGCTAAAGAAAATCCTCCTGGACGGTCTGGAACACAAAGGAGTCTGTTGCAATGGGGCACTGAATTTTGCCGCTGCCGAAAGACCTCCGAATGAATCTGCTGCTAAACACAAGAAAGTAAGTACATAGCCACTGGATTTGGTCAAGGCTGGATAAATATAGCACATGTCCTCTTAAGGAATAGTTTCGTTTACAGCTAAATTTAACATGTGGGGGAAAGTGACGCTCATGGAAGCGGTACGTATTTTTAAAAATGATACTTTCTGGAAGTTGAATCGCCAACAAAGGAAATATCACTATTTTTTTAAAGCAACAGTAACTTGATGTATGGAGCCAGAGATTCAGTATATAAGGATGAGCCTCCCCTTCTCTACTCAAGGAAGGAGCTGATGATGTAAAATGTTAAAGTACATGTTTAGGGTTGCACCTAAAGACATAATCCCATGCAATGGGGCTTCCTCTCCCCACACACCCCTGTTCCCCCCAATATGCCCTAGAGTTTTGGGGGGAACCTCAGAACAGGTTTTTGGGGGGGGCTGGGGCAAGGAGAGGATGCTGCCCTTACAGATGTCCTTGTGCTAATAGGATGATTTGCTTGTTGATATCCAATGAAAGATTTGAGGGTTATGTTCAGAGGTTGGATGCCATCCTACAAGAGGGAAACTGCCCTAACTCCCTTTTTGACCCACAGCTCTTATCTTCCCTCCAAACCAGTGGTTCCCAACCTTTTTTTGGCCATTCCCCACCTGAGCATCTCTATAATCCTGATCCATACACCCCCATGACATATAATTCTTATTATTCAAAAAGTGAACTCCTATTCATGTGGAGGAAGCCTAAAAGTCCATTCACTATTAACAACTCATTATCAAATTGCTCCCCTTAAAAATCAAATTGCCGCCCTTTGGGGGGTATGTCCCACGTTGGGAACCATGGCTCCAAACAGTAAGACTTGTGCAAATTTCTTTGCTTCCTGTGCAGTGGGATAGTGCTAGAGTTGTTCACAAGGGACAGCTTTGTATGACAGCTGTCCCTTCAGAACGGATCAAAAGCAGAGTTGCCTTTATTGATACAACCATTGTTTCCCTAAAATAACTTTGTTCTTTCTTTTTGCTCTGGCCTTCAAGAAGCTGCTTTCTTCAAATTTTGGCGCATGCTCGCTTTTTGAGTTGCACACGCTCTTCCCTTTCTGCCTCCCAGTCCTGTCAATATACAGTTAACCAACAAATAAATGGAAACCCCTTTGTTTTTAATAAACTTAGACGGGTGTAATTAGCAGTATTCACAGGGCCTGATTAGGAGCGTCGGCCAGGGATGTTAGTAGCCATATGAGCCCGCAGCCTTTGCTGACACAATATGGCAGGGTCAAGGCGTCGGTTCATTTTTAATATTCCTCATGAACTTTGGACTGTCAGAATGGTACATGAGCCAAAAAAATGTGGGATGCAAACTAATGCGACTGATGGGCTGCGAGATGAATGGCGATTCAAATCCCGGCGCACAGATGGTTCTGATTTGCCGAGTTCTGTAGCTGCTGCAACTGAAGACATAAAATAGCCGCCTAGTCATAAATTAGCTCTTTGGAAGCCAAACCTTGGCACCAGAGCTTTACAACCTTCAATTAGTAGCGAAAGAAGTATTTGAATGACTCCAGTATTGACATCTGTAGGTCTGCATAGTAATCATTCCTAATAGAAGAGAATCTCTGTTTGAGGGGCTTTTGCATGGCTAATTAACTACCAGTGAGAATATGTAATTTTTTCATGATCTCCCGATTGTCACCTTTCTCTCATGATACAATTACATTTTATTGTAGCGAATGCCTTTGCAAACCCAATTGTCAGCACTATTTACATTGTGTAGAAAAGCAGAACAAAAGTTCATCTTTAATAAAAAGCTACTGGATTTTGATCTTGGTAATTACCAAGACTCTTTTTTCCCCCCAGAGTTTTATAGACTTTGGTATTTTTTTTTTATCACTTTTACAACAAAGCAAAAAGCCATTTCTTTGACAGTAGTTTGCTTGCTGTTGTGGTCACCATTTAATCTATGCTAATTTGAGCGGTGGCTCTCTGTTTCTGCAATTTGTAGTTTTCTAAAGTTAATTGAAATATGTAAGTTTCTTTTTCCCCCCCTTTTTCACAAAAGGCATCTGCTCTCTAAACTTCTTATGTTCAGCCAATTTGATTTCCCCTCGCCCAGTCTTAAATGTGTAGATTTAAGAACTAGTGACTACTGCCTATTACAGTCAGAATTACCTGCGTTAAGTTGGGCTATATATATTTTTGCTGCTAGATTGAAGAGGAAAGTGACTTGGGTTACCTCTTCTGCTTTAGACAACCATTTAGAACTTTATAAAAACAGCAGCAACAGCTGTAATTCAAAGTGCTCTCAGTAGTCCTAGGAATTTGCACAGATGTCCCTGCCCTGGGATTTTGACTCCCCCCCCCCCAAACTGTGGACCACATTCCCCCTTACCAAGCCATTTTGCAAACTTTGGATATTTCCCTTCATTTCAAAACTGCTTTGCTGTGTGGTTGCTGTTTGATTTATTGATGCACAACAAATCTGGACTTAGAACTATGATGCTGGTGGTATTTGTGGGTCCTAGCCAGTGGTTGCAATCCAGAAGTGTTTCTTCTTCTTCAAACTCTTGACCCTTCTTTCCCAAATGTCACCTTAACAATTCCACTGTTGGAGGCGGCACGCTTTTGAATTCCAGCTGCTGGAAGATGTTCAGATCCTGCTTGGAGTTCCCATAAGCACTTGAGCGGCCAGGATGCTAGACTACGTGGAAACCACTGGCCCAACCCAGCGGACTCTTCTTAGGTTCTTAAACTTCTGTTCACTTCGAAAGCAACTTGCCGGGCAACATTGGGAGATGCTACCCAAGAGAAAAGCTATGGTTTTCCCATTAGTGATGTATGGAAGTGAGAGCTGGACCATAAAGAAGGCTGACCGCCAAAGAATTGATGCTTTTGAATTCTGGTGCTGGAGGAGACTCTTGAGAGTGGGAGGTGGATGGTGCTGTGGGTTAAACCACAGAGCCTAGGACTTGCCGATCAGAAGGTCGGCGGTTTGAATCCCCACGACAGGGTGAGCTCCCGTTGCTTGGTCCCTGCTCCTGCCAACCTAGCAGTTCGAAAGCACATCAAAGTGCAAGTAGATAAATAGGTACTGCTTTGGCAGGAAGGTAAACGGCGTTTCCGTGCGCTGCTCTGGCTCGCCAGAAGCGGCTTACTCATGCTGGCCACATGACCCGGAAGCTGTACGCCGGCTCCCTCAGCCAATAAAGCGAGATGAGCGCCACAACCCCAGAGTCGGCCATGACTGGACCTAATGGTCAGGGGTCCCTTTACCTTTACCCTTTACTGCAAGTGTAACACAGCCATTTTGTTTAGACAAGAAGAGCAGGGTGCCAGAAGGTCAACAGTTTCTCATTTCCCCTGGACAGGCTTTCTGCCCAATCAGGTGAATCATAGAATTGTAGAGTTGGAAGGGACCTTGAGGATCATCTAGTCCAACCTCTGGCAATGCAGGAATATGCAGCTATCCCATCTGGGGATCGAACCTGCAACCTTGACGTTATCAGCACCAGGCTCCCACCAACTGAGCTATCCAGTGACAACCGGCCAGGACCCCTCACACCCGCTCTGTGTCCAGCTCCTGTGCAGGAAAACAAGTAGGGGCTCATAGAAGAATGTTTGGGGAAAGGACTATTCATCCCAATTATCCCAGTTCCAGGGTTCTGGAAAGATCAAGTTTTCGTACAGGCTGTGTTATGGAGAGTATCCCCTGAAACTCTTCCTGGCCGCTGGACAAAGCAGCTCCTTTTCCCTTTTCCCCTCTTCCGTTTCCAACAAAAGAGCAGAAATCTATTACGTTTTGTATTTAGCTTAAAACTTACCTTGGATATTGATGTCAAGCAAGATGTTGCTGAACTTTGATTGCAAGAAAAGAGAGATCTGCAATAGTATTTGCTATTTGCAAGTGCATAACCCCATTTAAAGTCCACGAGCGAGGAGTGTCAATTATCACAGCTTCTGTTCCTCAGACACAGGCATAAGTATTTTTAATGGCCAATAACAAGGTCAGGGAGAGAACTGTGCTGTTTGCAGATGACTTGAACCTCGTCCCCATCATCCTCTGAGTTTTTCATGGAGATTTCAAATATCCTCTTTCATTAGCATGAAATGCATACCTTGCATCATCTCAGATTTGAGAGCTGTTTCTGACTCGAGGGTATTCTAAAATATAGCGTGTTGTGAACCGTCGGCAAATAGGGAATAAAGGCAGGAAAGTCCATTTTCTGTGAAAAGCTTCAACTGCTTTTGAGTTTGAAAAGCATTGTACTTCACCCCCAATTCAGTTAACGATTGTGTAGGTGAAAATGGAGTAGCCATACAGAATACAATGAAGGCGATAATCAGTTTGGATTCTGGGGGAGAAGGAGAGTGAATAATCTTCATATATTGCCACATGATCAGATTAAAAATGGCTCCAAATTAGCCGGTACTGGAAGCATTTACCTGTTAATTGTTCAAAACTCCAACCTACAAAGCCAGAAATTCCAACACATCTATGGATGAATGGGAGACCACATACCTGATTTGAAGTACAGTGGTAACTCTGGTTACAAACTTAATTCGTTCCGGAGGTCCATTCTTAACCTGAGGTACCACTTTAATTAATGGGGCCTCCTGCTGCAGCACGATTTCTGTTCTCATCCTGGGGCAGAGTTCTTAACCCGAGGTACTACTTCCGGGTTAGCGGAGTCTGTAACCCGAAGTGTTTGTAACCCGAGGTACCACTGTAGAGATATAATACATTAGGGGAAGTGGGTGGCGCTGAGGTCTAAACCACTGAGCCTCTTGGGCTTGCCGATCAGAAGGTTGGCAGTTCGAATCTGTGCAATGGGGTGAGCTCCCATTGCTCTGTCCCAGCTCCTGCCAACCCTAGCAATTCAAAAGCACACCAGTGCAAGTAGATAAATAGGTACCGCTGCGGCGGGAAGGTAAACAGCGTTTCCATGCTCTCTGGCACTCGTTACGGTCCTCTGTGTGCCAGTAGTTTAGTCATGCTGGCCACATGACCCAAAAAACTCTGGACAAACGCCAGATCCCTTGGCCTGAAAGTGAGATGAGCACCACAACCCCATAGTCGCCTTTGACTGGACTTAACCGTCCAGGGGTCCTTTACCTTTACAATACCTTCTTATTGCCATTGATGCCTGTGCATTCGGAAGAAGTGGTGCAAGGGCTACTCTATTCCCAGTGTGGAGCAGGCAAAGACTGAAGGATGTGATTGTAGTGGGGAAAGGCACCTAGTCACTTTGGCTGTTTAGATATTGAAATGTCTGTTGTGAAGCAGGCTATTCGTCGTGATGCCAGAAGTTGTACTGATGGATGCAGGCACAGGTGTTTTTAAAGCTGGAATGTGTGCAGAAGAGAGCAACCAAGATGATCAAGGGTCTGGAAACCAAGCTTTATGAGGAACAGTTTAAGGAGCTGGGTATGTTTAGCCTGGAAAAGAGCACACTGAGGGGAGATATGATAGCCAACTTCAAATATCTCAAGGGCTGCCACATGGAAGACGCAACAAGCTTGTTTTCTCCTGCTTCAGAGGGTAGGACTCAAACCAGTGGCTTCAATTTACAAGAAAGGAGATTCTGACTAAACATCAGGAAGAACTTTCTGACAGTAAGAGCTGTTGGATAGTGGAACAGACTCCCTCAGGACTTGTGTACTCTCCTTCCTTGGAGGTTTTTTGGCTGGACGGCCATCTTTCATGGATGCTTTAGTTGAAATTCCTGCCTTGCGGGGGTTGGACTAGATAACCCTCAGGGTCCCTTCCAACTCTACGACTCCATGAAAAGGGGATTGGACAAATTAATTTAGGGAAGGCCTGTCAATATCACTCACTGTGGCTAGACTCTACAGGTTCAGATGCAACTCTATTGCAACTCTATTATCTTATTATCTACCCTTCACCCTAAGCGCCAAGGTATAATACAAGAATTTAAAACAAATTACAGCAGCCTTTCTCAACCTGTGGGTCCCCAGATGTTGTTGGACTACAACTCCCATCACCCCTAGCAAGGCCTGAGCTCAGGGATGATGGGAGTTGTAATCCAACAACATCTGGGGACCCACAGGTTGAGAACTGTTGAATTAGCCACCATCATAGGATGGGTCAGTTCACCTTATAAGCCAGGTACAGGGAAGCTGTGCCCCTCATGTTGTTGGCGTACAACTCCCAGCGGCTCAGATTATTGACCATGGTTGGTGAGGTTGATGGCAGATAGGAGTTCAACATCATATGCAGGGCCACAGATTCCCTAGCTCTGCAGTAAGATGTACGTTGCCCTAACCTGAATATATAAGAATAAATGTATATCAACTAATGCAGATTCTATCCTAATTTATTTGGGGGGCAAGGTAAGACTTCTCGTTGCTATTGGGATTTGGAAGCCTTTGCCTATTTATTACAGATCACCCAGCAATTGACCAGTAGATCCCAGTCTGTCTTTTGCCCTCTCCTGTGTAAGGGAATGGACAGGGGGAATCCACACTTCAATTGTTGCTTGAAGAGTGCAGCTCACTCAACGTATTGCTCAGTTCACCCTATTACATGTCGTTGCTGCAAGTTAAAAAGAAAATAATCCCAGGGAGGGCAACCTAGAAATTTGACAAACGATATTCTTATCAGTGAAACAACATTTTTAATGTAAATGCAGCTTCTCGGGTGGGCAAGGGGGGCTGCATGACCTTTCATGGTGCCCCGAGAGCAAGTATATCAGTATTATGGGCGGGTCAGATCACCTCACTAATGGAATAAGTAGTGATTATTTTCTCATTCCAGGCACTGACATTAATTAGAACCACCACAATAAAAACAACTTACTTAGATATAGTTAATGCAAGCTTAATTGACAGAGACTTATTGGTTTTGCATCCAGTAAAGGTTAATAACATTCATCTAAGAGTTCTTTAAGAATCCTTGGAACAAATTTTCGCAATAAATAACATTGCCCCTTAGGATAGCACAAGTGCAAGCACTCTTGCTCAAGAGCTCAACGAAACGACTGCCCTGTGCAGTTCCAACTCGCGGTAAATGTTGGCCGTTCCTTGTGTTGGCGGATTAGTGATGCTTTTGCTCGAAGTTGCGCAGAAGCCATTCATTTCACACACAAGCCGCAGTCAGTGGAACAGATTCTGTAAAGCAGGAGTAGCAGCTGCACGAGTCACTCAACTTGTACATTTAACAGGTTGATTTGCCAAAGCCAGTGCCAAGGCAAGTTAAAGACGAGAAGGGAAAGGAGTTCGAAAGCAAGGACCTCTCCTATCGTAGAAGAGCCGCTGTGGGAATGAAAAGCAGCCAAGGACAAGACGAGCAGATGCTGGCTAGGCTGAGCAAGCAGCTTCAGAACGAAGCGGTGAGTTCTTAAAATGAATAAAATTGCTGCATTAAATTGTACCTGGCTTGCGGAAAACTCCTGCTTTTCTAGCTGTACATTCCCCCACTCCCTCCACACCTTGGAAAATATTAAGCGCAGGTGAGAAACGGCCAAACAAAGGTTACTTTTCCTGCAATGTACATTGATAATAATAATAATAATAATAATAATAATAATAATAATAATAATAATAATAATAATAATTTATTTATACCCCGCCCATCTGGCTAGGCTTCCCCAGCCACTCGGGCCGCTTCCAACCAAACACTAAAATACAATAACCTATTAAACATTAAAAGCTTCCCTAAACAGGGCTGCCTTCAGATGTCTTCTAAAAGTTTGGTAGTTATTTTTCTCTTTGACATCTGGTGGGAGGGCGTTCCACAGGGTGGGTGTCACTACCGAGAAGGCCCTCTGCCTGGTTCCCTGTAATTTGGCTTCTCGCAGCGAGGGAACCGCCAGAAGGCCCTCGGCGCTAGACCTGTGTCCGGGCAGAACGATGGGGGTGGAGACGCTCCTTCAGGTATAGTGGACTAAGGCCGTTTCGGGCTTTAAAGGTCAGCACCAACACTTTGAATTGTGCTTGGAAATGTACTGGGAGCCAACGTAGGTCTTTCAAGACCGGTGTTATATGGTCTCGGCGTGGATGGGTGGGGGGCAGGATTTTGATGGATGCTGTGATGCTCCACCACTTTGAAATGGTACAGGCCCTTGAGAACTTAACACGTTCCCCTTTTCACACTCATTTAAACGAATATGACCAGTTAGTATAGTATAGCTTCTCATGTTCTAACTGCTAGGTCTTCTGAAATTTAGAAAGGTTAATGATTGTTTTCTCCCCTGCTAACTGGGGCTGACTTGCTGTTGCCCATTAAAGCCCATACCAATGCAAGTATTCTGCACATACCTGGGTAAACTCTAAAAGCATTTACTATGTGCCCTGGCCCACACATGCACTGCTATGCACAAGGGAGAGAGAGGAAGGCTGAAAAGCAGTTACCACACATAAAGGCTTTGTAAGCCCAGGGGTGGCGGCACTGCTTCTGCGGGCAGCCCCCGCCCCTGAGCCCTTTTGCTCTCCACTAAAATTAAGATTAACAGAATTAAGATGACCCTCAGGGACCATTGCAACTCTACAATTCTGTTACTTCAAAGGCGTTCGCCCCGAACTTGCATATACACCTGTGTCACCTTAATAGATCTTCCTATGAACTACGTTCTCCCCGAGGCAAGAAATGTGTTACTTTAAAGCCAGCTGCTGGTTGCATTCTCCCCACCCCCTTACTCTAAAGGCTTTTACTACTGGCTAGTTCTGTTTGTTCTTCCTAGCCCGCTAAGACTGGAGGAAAGTCAGCTGGAGCCACAATCGATGTTTACAGGAGGAAGTTAGTCAAGGTAAGTTCAGCAGGCAGCTTGAAGCATCTGTGATGCTCATAGGCTACTGAGCCAGGTTCGCGGTTCTATTAATATGTGAAGCCCTGAGCGACTTGGGTCCGAGATACCTCTAGGACACCACCATAGCCCTTCTTTCCCAGCTCAATCACTGAATTATCCAGGAGTGCTTTTAATTGTCCTGCAAGTTTCATAACCCTGACTCGTTTCAACTAGAAGTTGGCATGTAACACTGAGAAAGCTGGAGGAAACGTAAAACCATAGGGACTTATATTGCTGATATAGTGGGAGTGCTGAATGTAGCAAGATTGACTGAATAGGTGTAACACCCCCCACTCGCCTTGTAAAAAATTATGATGGCATTCCCTTATCTGGCTATCATTTCTGTTGTTGGCTGAAAGAGAAGTCATAGCCCAAAACTGGACTGTCAGTCCATTCCTGTCAGGTGTCTCAATGCTCAGCATACAGCTTTATTACAGAAGCTGGCTAAACAAATTCAGTCTTCAAGAGATCCAAACAAGGAGGATTACTATGTAGGACAATGGTATGGCTTTTTGCAATGGACTAGGAATCTGCTGGGTCAGGCTTCAACTCCTGCATCCCATGGCTCTCTGTGAAAATAAGTGAGATAATGGACATAGAAAAGCTGTTATAGATAATAAATGTATCTGGTGAATTATTACACTTAGTCAATTATCTTTGTACCATGAGTTTATTATTATTATACAAAAAAGTCATATATATATTTATGAAAGTACCAGAGCTTAAATATTTGTTCTTATGCAGATCTCTGTTGAAGACATGGATAGAAGTTTTATGCTTCCTTCTCAGAAAGGTAGAGAACCACAACCTATCTGCAACACCTTCTGGCAAATTGAGGAAAAATCCATAGGAAATGGAGTTACATATTCTGAAGCCTTTCAACCAGAACGCTTTCAGACTTCGACTAGCACTTCTATATGCAGCACTTTGGAGTCTGGACTTCATGAAGCATCTGGACTTCGTAAAGAATTGTACCAATACACGATGACCATCATTGTCCTCTTCTTCTTAATACTGCTTTCTGTGTATTTTCTTTGATATCATGTCTAATGTGTTAGCATTCTTAAGACTGTACATTTACATAGTTACAGGCTTCTGAAATTCCACTTCAGACTTTCTTCATAGACATTTTCAGTGTTATTGGCTGGAATAGTTTTTCAAAGCAAGGTGAGTTGTTACAAAATTAAAAATCAATAAAGTACTTGAATTTTGCTTACAGTACTTTCCAAGGTATTTATTACAAAGAATAATTCCCCCTCCCCTAATTTTTAACTGAATTGTTCCCACCCGCTAAGTATCAAGAGACACTGGTATCTGAGAGATTTAAGTATGCGCACGACAGTAACTTTGCAGCAAAGACTCCTAAAAGAAGACAAGCTAATTTCAATTGTATTTTGAAACCCTAACTTAAGCTCATACAGAAACAGTTCCAATTATCCGGGAACTACGTTGCTTTCCTTACCTTGTTACAATATGGACATTCACCAAATATGACATTAAAACTTTGCCGACTGGAAGGAAGTCCACGCAGCCACTACAGAGAAATGCATGTTATTAGGTAAGTCCCAGGAAGACTCAAAAAAGAATAGGCCTCAAATACAGCAAGCTCTCTTACTATTCAAGACCTTAAATCATGTTGCCCAGTCTCACTCTCCAGGTGGCTGCTCATAGCATGAGTTTTTGACTAGCAGGACAGAGAAAGCAAAGCTTGGTGTAACTGGTTGTCCTCATTTTTAGGAGACAAACCTGCCCCCATTGTGTGAGTAGAAGAGCTCCAGAAATATCTAATTCTGCCCCCAATCTATTTGCCAACTGCCAAGCTGAGCATATTTGGCCACACTTGGTCCTGGTAAGAACAAAAGTGGCTGCTTCTCCACTAAGTATTGTCCCTAAAGGTAAAGGGACCCCTGACCATTAGGTCCAGTTGTGACCAACTCTGGGGTTGCGGCGCTCATCTCGCTTTATTGGCCGAGGGAGCTGGCGTACAGCTTCCGGGTCATGTGGCCAGCATGACTTAAGCCACTTCTGGCAAACCAGAGCAGCGCACGGAAACACCGTTTACCTTCCCGCCAGAGCAGTACCTATTTATCTACTTGCACTTTTGATGTGCTTTTGAACCACTAGGTTGACAGGAGCAGGGACTGAGCAACGGGAGCTCACCCTGTCGTGGGGATTCGAACCGCCGACCTTCTGGTTGGCAAGTCCTAGGCTCTTTGGTTTAACCCACAGCACCACCCTACCAGTAAACTAATCAACAGGGATCTTTTAAGGATCCTCAACCTCCATTTTGGCACACACTACTCAAGACCAAGTATATGATCCAGGCTACTCAGTTTTGGCACAAAATTTTACAATTTCAATTTAACCCCAACTGGAACTGTGTGATCTTTTGCATTTTCCTTTGCAGCACAACATTCCTGTGCTGTGAATCTTAACCCAAAATTTTGAAATTTCACACATCTGTGGTGAAACATGCTTATATGCTGACTGGCATATAATGTGTGATCAAACACAACATGTAAGATTGGTTTGTATCAGGAGTACAAACAGCTTCAATGTGCTATCTACAAGCATTCTTCAGAACATTTATTTTGCGGATATGGGCACTGCAGGCTGCAGGAAAAAATGCCTCCTGTCCAATAACAGTACAAAAGAGCACCCATATGATTGCACCCACCCATCAATTTTCCGTTCCATAATCCTAGAACGCTACCGTAAATTGCTCTACCTCATATAAACAAGCTTGATGGAAAGGCTGGCCACAGCGGGGGTCGTCACAGACTTGGTCTGGAATAGTCCCATCAAGACGGTAAGCGTAGCAGATCCCGCAATCCATAGAGAAGTCCTAAAAAACATGGAACGCAGCTTGAGCACATAGAATAAAGCATGTCAACTTGTTTCACCCATTTTAAACAATTACATTTGTGGTTGGCTTATTTTTTATAAGAAAATGTACAAGAGTATGATAATTTATTAAGGACTAAACTTTAAAATTGTTATCAGCTGAAGGCATCCCCCAGCTAATTAGAAAATGCTTTTTTACCCTTTATTTTTAATACATTTATCCGTAGGTATCAGGTATTATCCCTTTACTCGCGCAAAGAGGGAAATGTGAAATGGTCATTTGTTAGAACAGGGGTGGCCAGTGTCTTCCACCCTCCAACTATGAGCCGGCATGGCCTGTGGTCAGGCATGATGGGAGCTGTAGTCTGTCTATTTTAAGACATCAGGAGACAAGGGAAGTGTGCTTCCCTCTTCCCTTTTACTCATGCTTCGTTAATCAGATGACAAATCACTCAAAGAATGACCGAAGCAATGATTACCCTGAGAAGACACTGAGATTAAAGTGTTGCCTTAATGGTGCCAACCCACAAATATTAAGAATATTTCTCCAGAATGCATATTATGAGATACCAACAGATTGAAGAGCTTGGTCCTTGGTTTACCCCAGGTATTCGGTTTCAATTGGCTTTGAACTAGTGACCATCTTGCGGAAAATCGTTGGTGTGGAAATTTTCCAATTAAGAGTGAAGTATCATTACATTATCACTAGGTGTGCAATGTGTTTTGAGCTTTAATCATGTCCTTATTAAGAATAAAACTCGATGAATTTCTGACGATCATGCAACGACCCTCTATTGTAAATTGAATTTGGTTTCTTTTTATTGTGAACTGCACTGAGATCTACAGGTATAGGGCAGTATACAAATTTTAAACATAATAAATAAATAATAATTTATTATCTTCTTTTGTACTCTTTCATATTTAATTTTTTCTTACTGAGACAAGGTAAACATTTTAACAAATCTTTAAAACTTATGAAGTGAAGCTTATTTTGGATGTCTTGATCACATGTATTAATGTTCCTATTATTTTGTTATGCTACAGAATTCCCTTTTGCCATGGTATTCAAAATATGAACATAATAACCACAGAGCAACTTACAGATTTTTCTAGAGCTTCTCGAGATGGAAAATCAATTTCTAAAACCTCTTTCAAATTTTGTAGTAAACTGAGTTCTGGATCCCTGAAAAGAAGAAGGAAAATAAAGTATCAGCACTCCCAACAAAGCTATGAACTAAATGTCTACAACCAAACACACTTACCACAGGTGTATGTTGCTGTTCAGCTTGACTTTCAAGGGATTTACCACTGAAAATAAAAATCATATGTGTTGTCACTACTCCCAGGAGCATTCTACGAACAGACTTCCTTCAAAGGGGACAATGGGGACTGGAGGAGAAGGAGGGGAGTTACATCTTAAAATTTTGTGCTGTTTTTTATTATTTATTAAATTTATTTATCTCAGTTTTACATCATAAATATGCAAAATGCACAATACAGTCATAATAAAAACAGTAACACCCCCGGGCTGCCTGATTCAGCAGAGAATGAATTCTCAATTATCAGGCATGTATTTATTTTTCTATGCATACACTACTTTTCTGCATATTGGTTCACAAGGCAGCTGGATATGTAAGTCCATGCACTGCAAGGTTAGGCATGCTGCATATAACACATCATGTAACTGGTACCCTGTATTCTGCATTGTTGATTTTAAGTAAACTTGCAATGCAAGGCACAATGTTTACAGACATTAAATGTTTAGTTATTATATCTCTGAACGACACTTACAAGAAAGCCCAATCATAGATGCCATGAGATTTTCAGGAAGCCTGCAGAGTGCAGACCACGGGAGATATTATTTGCAGAATGAAAGAACGCTCACGGAAACCCATGAAAATTTCACTGAAATTTGTCCTCCACTTTGAATACCTTTTTTTATTACTTAATAGAGAATGGTAAAAGAACAAAAACAAATCCCTGTCCCGCTCTAAAAACAAACATTTCCAGCACATCACTAGTATTCACTGTATACTACTCTGATCTTCTTGGGGATTAAGATCTGGATATAAATTATTTTAAAGAGATATTGCCCATGGATCTATATAGGGTCTCTGTCTTTTTAACTTGCTTATAATAATGCAGAGTTTGAGGGAAAGAGTCACGAGATGGCAAAGTCTGTGGATGATAGTAAATTTTTCACTATTTAAGTAGCTCTCCAATTTGGCTGGACAGGCTAGTAAAATGGCAAGTGCAGTTCAAACTAAATAAGTGCAAGTCGATGCACACTGAGGTAAAAACTCCTAATTTCACAGATATGCTGACAGGGGCTTAATAGGCAATGACTGCAGCCTCAACGAAAAAAATCAGCTGAAGGTATGCAACTGCTGTGAAAAGGCAAATTCCATTTGGTGGATCATAGGAAAGGGACTGAAAATGAAACTGCCAATTCCATAATGACATTATACAAATATATTGACAGAACTGGAAACAACTCAGCTTTGAATAAATCTTAGGGCATATTAGTCACCAGAAACCCATCTGCCTTTGGCCAAACCTTAGTTCCCAGGCTTTTACTGCAGCTTTTTTCAATGGATTGAGAACTGACATGCAGCCCACCAAGAAAGACATGGGGCGCAGTATAGCTTTCTGTAGCACTGCAGCTAAATTCATCTTCTAGAACAGGCTGGCAATATATTAAACAGTGCAAAATTGTTTTGTAATGTATTGAATCTTCAACGTTTTTCTGAGCAACGCACACACACACAATTTTCAAAAAATTAAGGTCAATGGTGTGCTTCTAGCTTGGTCCGCCTGAAACAAGTAGACTCAATTTAGTATAAAGTTAACCTGCGGTAAGCATAAAGTGATATACACTGCGACAGAAAAGCTATTATGATCGACAAAATGGATTTTTAAATAGGAGTCATCCTACCGTGGTCTGCTCCAAGAAAGTAACACTCAGGAAGCATGGTGGGGTGTCTGGGATCTACCTCTATATTAATTGAAATGTTGTTTCCTGGAACAGACATGTAGATGAACAGAGCTATAACTACATATAGTTTCATCCTTACTCAACTAAACTTCACACACACATACAAAAGGAATCTGCAAGAGCAATCTTAATTTAGGCTTTGAGCCCCAAACACGGTGCTGGTCATTTCTAAAAACAATACATCAGACCTTTTCTTCAGTTTTAACATTTGCTACTACGAAAGTTACTAGCTTCAAATTGTTTTATCCATTTCACATGCTTTGCTTTCCCACTTCTTATTTAGAACATTTTTTTAATTCATTAGGCTTACATTAGCTAGTTGCTTCATTGGTCAGAGGTATCGATTAAAACTACTTTTAATCAATTAAAATACCACCAA